TCTTTTCTCTCAAGAAGCAGATTTGGTCCCTTTGTATTTATGGTGCCACAAAAACAGTAAGAAAAACAGAAATCAAATTAGTATAGAACACAATCTGATAGTACGTTATCAATAGCGTAATGAATTAAAACCCAGCTCTGTTACAGCTCTACATTGGCAACCATGAGTAAAAATTGTTACAATAACACTTTAAAAGTGTGAATACAAACATCTTGATCTCCAATGGGTTTTCATCCCTAATCACAACCCTAACCCTAATTGCAACCCTAACCCATATTCACCATAGGGTGAATAACTCTGAACTGAAATTCAGTGTGGGTGCGTGGCTGCCTCCCCTTTATTATTCCTGAAATGCCCAAGTCTCTACGACTTTCAGAAAAAAAGTTATTCAAAAATATCTTGTACTTTTTTGGGTAGATTTGGTGGTTTGACCCCTGCCGGAGGTCGTATAAGCTCGTGGATGGCACTAATGGATCGGGCATCCCCACATTAGTGCAGATGGAACCACTTCCAAGTCTCTATGACCTTCAGAACAAAAGTTATTGAAGAATATCTTGATCTCCAATGGGTTTTCATCCCTAACCCTAACCCTAATCACAACCCTAACCCTAACCCTAATCACAACCCTAACCCTAACCACAACCCTAACCCATATTCACCATAGGGTGAATAACTCTGCGCTGCTTGCTCGAATCGTGCTGAAATTCGGTGTGTGTGCGTGTCTGCCTCCCCTTTATTATTCCTGAAATGCCCAAGTCTCTACGACTTTCAGAAAAAAAGTTATTTAAGAATATCTTGTACTTTTTTGGGTAGATTTGGTGGTTTGACCCCTTCCGGAGGTCGTAGAAGCTCCAGTGACCAGCAGCAGCTCCATATCCAAACTAATTCGCTCATGTTTCATATATTAACAAATAAAATTCCAGTGATACATTCGAATTAATGTCCGTTATCACAAAGACACCCTTTTAATTGTAGATTGACCGGTCACAGCGCATCTAGATGAAAATCTTTTCAGGTGTTAGGGGACTTTATTTCTTTTCACTATCAATAAAAATGGGAAATCATTTTGTGGAAGACTGACCCAACAGGAAATTGAGTTTTTAAACTACACATCAGGCAGAAAGAGAGATTGGCTGCTAGAAAAAGATTACACACACAGAGTGATGTAGGCTGGTAAAAACCAAAATGGAATATACAGTACATGAGCCTTTGAGCTATTAACTGTATTAATATATTTTTTGTAATAGATGTATTTTCTATTTGCATACACTGTCATATACAGTGCACCATTCCATATGTAATGAAAAGATGGTTGAACAGTACAATAATCTTTTAAACATAAAACATGATTCACCTCTTCTAAGACCTCTCTCTACAGTACAGTAAGTAACACTACCTGTTTTAGTGTTTGTGTTTTGTTGAGAAAAAAGCACGTTACATGCTTTACACTTATATGTTTAAATTATTCAACTCGTTTTTTATCATTTCAGGCATTAAAACGAGCTGTGGTGTTAAGCTGCATGGTGCAGAGAGCAATATGAAATATTTTGTTCAGGAACATGGAGCGGAAAATGCTTGTTACAACAGCATAAATTCTGCATTAACTGGAGTGTACATTAAAATGTCCTGCATGCATCAGGATTAAGACGTGTCATCTTCTTCAGATTTCCTCACGTCACCACTATAGCTATCATCATTATCAGTATCAGCAGCGACCATCAGCCCTATCGCCATCACCAGCCTCAACATCCTGGCCATGTTCTTCCCCAGCTTCTTTATCTTCTCCTCCTCTGAAGTCTCCAGCGGAGGATTCCTTGTCAGAGGCTGCGGGCAGCATGCGTCCAGAGTAGTGGATTTGAAGTGACAGAAGCTGTATGTACACTATTTATAGGCTATCTGAGTAGAGAAACGTGCTGCTCACTGTTGAAGCTATTTATAGAACCTTTTACGGATGCCTCTGAGTAGAGTGGAGGAGAAGAGAAGGTTCTCTGGGGAATGACTTACGAGGCTCTCTCATATCTTCTTCTACCCCCATTCAGTGCACGTCCGCCCCTTCTACTCACGCGTCTCTGCTCAGCTCGTCCCTCCATCCTCTTCCCATCCTCTCACATCGACTTTCGTCTTCTCAATTTTGCTCCTCTGTCCGCTCTCTTCTTCCCTCTGCACCTCTCCCCTGCTGATCTCCTCCTCTTTACCACCTCTCTTCCTGTCCTCCTCCATTTTTTTCCCATCTCCTTGCAAAGGATCTTAGCTCATGTCTGCATCCATCATCTCCCCTCTCTGTCTACTAGACCTCCTCCTGTCTGTTTCTCCCATATATTTTCCTGATGTTCTCACTTCTTCTGCCTCGTTTTACTGCCTTACACTCATATCAAACAGCCACTCACACTATGCAGACATTAAACCATCTGCAACTCTTCTCCAGGCTCCTCAAGAGCAAGTACTCCTGCACAGGCTGAGACTCATTTTGTGAAGTAGTCAAGTGATCCGTGTGAATAAATTGAAACAGTGCTACACATTTCTACTCTCAAAGGCTTGATATGGTATATTGAACTATCAGTAACAACTGCATCCAATGCTTCAACCTGTAAACTGAGATGACCATCGGAAATTTTCATTCACTCCCTCTGCCTTTTAGTTCTCATCTGCTTGACATATTTTTGAACGACTGATCAACTCTTGCACAACCTCTTATTTTTATCAATCCGCGAGTGACTGTTGCTCTCTAATATAGTGAAAATATGTGTATACATAAATGTTCTTTAAGTGGAAGTCATGTTAGCATTTGGTATGTGTGCATGACTACGCGTGAACGCATGAGGAAAACAAACCTGCAAACAAGTAAACATACAGATTAAACACAGCAGAGAGCCTGCAGGCAACGATGTGAAAAAGTTATTAATATATGACAGAAAATTATCACATTGAATTCACTACATTTTTGGGGGAGAACAGCAAGACCTTGAGCTGAATGATGTAACAGGATGCAGGAGTTGATGTCAGCATGTAAGCCTTCTAGCTGTATGAACACACACTCTCACACACCTCCTCCCACATCCTTCAGTGTGACAGCATGTTGTGATGCAGAGTGGCGTCTGCTTGTCAAGCTGACAGACTCGCACTGACAGCATGGTCAGACCACTGCAGACACGGGTGAAAAACACTAATTCTATACCGCTCCAAACCACAACAACAAACTGCCTGCCAGGCACGAGCAGCGCTCAGGACCATCATGCATGATTTTTAGCTGTCTGGTGCTGTGTCACTCTTATGGTTAGGCAACACCTGCTCCTGTGCATTTGCAAATGTATATAAAACATGTGCAGATGACCTGCTGACCAAAGACAAATTAAATCAGGTCGGTGAAATTCTGTAATATCACAAATGTATTTCAATAAATTTAAATATTCAGCCTATGATTCAAAGCTGCAATGCAGGGGGTCTGTGAGTTGGAATTCATTACACTGCATCAGCTTTGTTAAGTGATATTCAGTTAATTATGGGGATGTCATTACCACTCACACATCACACAGAATAACGGTCTTTCTATTCTCACAAAAGGGCTGGAAGCGATTTAAAAGACAGTGAAAAAACTATGGTTCACGCGACCAAAAGGGGCCTGTGCCTTCCTTCGGCCTGGACAGGGCTGAAGTGTGCGAGGACCTGCAGTGTTGAACCTCAGCTAGTCCCCATCACCTCAGCTGTCACCCTGTCAGTCCACTTTCGCTGCACTATTACCAGCCAACAGGCTGAGAGAGGTAGAAAAAGAGAGGAAAGGAGGGTGGGCTATCTGGAGGTAAAACTGAGTGGCAGAGAAAATGTGATAGAGTGAGGTGGTGACCAAAAGCAATCAGAAAGGGAAAGAAGGAGGGAGATGCAGGGGGAACATGAGGGAGAGCAAAGCATGAAAGCAAAGAGATAAAGTGGAGGGAGGGAGGGAGGAGAGGAAAAACAGGGAGCGAGAGGCTCAGGGACTGTGCAGCTGTGGAAGTGAATTAAACAATCACTTCTGTGTCAGCAGCTCAACACACCGGCAGAGGACATCCAGTATAGTAGAAGTGCTCAGCCGACGCAAAAACTATCAATGACGTCAAGAGGTAGCTCGGTTTTCTAATGATTCTGTATCAGAATCTGTCTGTTGACAAATAAAACAAAAGGCTGGTTGATTCATCTAAACACCCAGACAACATAACTGAGGTTATTAGACAAGATCCTGAAACATGAAATCAGAGTGCACTGATCCACATGCTGCATGAAAGCATCTGTAGTCTGCAGAGTCAAGCATCACAGTGGCTTCAGTCTCCAGAGAAGCTGATTCACGAGCTGCTCCGTGTATTGACAGCAGGCGGAGCTGCTGGGGACGACATCCCCTCCATGTTAATCACGGCAATGACATCGTCCCTGCAACAGGTACATTGATAGCACAATAAACAATCCACATCCACATGCAACCGACTTGAATGATGTGTCTGTTGGGGGATTTGTGTGTCCAGCTTGTACAGTTTCTCACATACAGACAAAACAACCTTCTTCCTAATGTCCAATCGATTGACATGCTGCTATTATTATTGTGCACCATTCAAAAACCTGTTATCTGTTTTAATGATAATAATGCTGATCGGTGTATATCTGCGTGTGTGTTGTGCATGTCGAGCGTGTGCTGAAGGGGGTAGGGCGTCACAGCAACGCAAGCCTCGAGACAAGAGGGTGGTTGCCGTGGAAACCTCAGGCTGAGAGCTTGGCAGGCGGACGATTGAGGGAGAAGAAGGTGCGATAGAAGGGGAAAGAGCATGTGTGATGAAAAAATCCGAGAGCAATGTCCTGAGGGTCAAGGAGGAAAAACTAATACAGAAAAAGAGAAGGAAATAGAGCCGGACGAGGAGGGAGGGGAAAAGAGATAAAGACAATGAAAAACTACACATACACAGTGAGGCAGAGGAGAGGCATGAAGGAGTGATCGAGGCCAGAAGGAAGGGGAGAGGAGAAATACGTGGACTCACAGGGAACAGTGCGGAGGTATAGGTTGTCTCTGATGATCTGCTGGTGGTCGTGGTCCACTGAGCCCTTGGAGAAACGCAGGTTGAGGTAGTGCCGCAAATCCTTGTCAACCACTCCCCCTGGACACAATAACAGGAAGAGAGATGTTACAGATCAAAACAACCAGAAGGTGCAATCAAACGCTGCTCAAACCCACAAAACGTATAATTCTAGGGAACATCCCAAAAAAGGTTCCAAAGATACCAACTGTCTCACATCGAAATCTGGGCATAATCATACGGGAGGAATAAAGAATAGTTTATTTTGGATGGAATGGAGCAGCTTCAAATGATTTCCTTCATCCTAAATCTGAATATTTTTCTGCATGCAAACTTTGTCTAGCTTCAACAAAGCTGATACAGAATGAATTATATTAGAAGTAGCAGATGGTGAAGGCTGAAATTGAAGCTGATTTCTAACAACCCTAAGGAATAAAAAGGGGGAAATCAATGTTGGGGGCATTGAAGAAAAACATTTATTGTGTGTTTTAATATGATATGAAAATGGTTTAAACGTGTTAAAAGCTCTCACTGATTTTCACACCAAAGTCAAACAGCAACAGTGACTATACAACCTGACATTATTACACACACACACACACACACACACACACACACACACACACACAACCAAAAACACACACACACATCATGTTAATTGTGTTAACCAGTGATCCCCTTGGGGCTAAATGTGCGGTGTCAGCAGGTTGGGTGACAAAGGTGCTACAGAGGACAGAAGCTCACACCACTTTGTCTCTGCCGCTCTGTCTGTGTTGCTGTAAAAGCTGTCTACCTTCTCGTTTGAGTTATTAACCTGAAACAGTCAAATAAGTGTGAGAAACGTAAGTGCAGGCAGACAAACAGCGGGCCAACATATCTGTGCTGCACACACACTGTATGAAAATGTCCATGAATAGTTTCTCCTCCCTTCATTCCAAATCAAAGAAGCGAAGGAGGATGAGAGGAGGAGAAGTTGTTCTCCACACAACGTTCAGTATGCAAGACTATCACATCAGACAGCAGGGGGGAGGAGGTTAGAAGCCATGCATTTACAAATGATAAACGTGTCTTCTAACTCATGCATACTCTATGTGACCTCCTGCCAAACTAATTTGACAGCGTTGGGCCTACTGATAAAGATTAATGCAGCGGTGACTTGTCAAAGGGAACATACAGCATATACAGTCAGAGAGAAGATTCTCACTGCACCGGCTGTGTGAATACATGCATTTATGTTGCTGACACTGCTGACTGTTCTGTAATAATGAATCCTTTTGGAATAATATCTTATGTAAACTGACACCATTTTAGCGAGGCTGTGAATTGCTTCACAGAGGAGAGGAGAGGAGAGGAAAGGAGAGGAGAGGAGAGGAGGGAGAGGAAAGGAGAGGAGAGGAGGGAGAGGAAAGGAGAGGAGAGGAGAGGAGAGGAGAAAAGAGGAGAGGAGAGGATGTGGGGGACAGAAAACAAAGGAAGATAGGGGGAAATCTTGATTAAGAACATTAGGACTGCCGCAGTTTGCATCACACATTTGACATGCACAGACACCAACACACACACAAAGACATGTTCAGAAGGAGCGATGGAGAGACAGACACAGTCTAGAGAAAGGCAGTGCACCTCATTAGCAGCTGCCACAGATGTTGATAAAAGCAGTCCTTTCTCCACAGGTATACATCCACAGACAGCCTGTCCTCTCAGGCGTCCTCTAGCCTTGCAACCAACCGCTGCACATCTTCTGCCGCCTTGGTGAAACCTCACTGTCTTTCCTCCTGCTCAACCGCTGCTCAACCGCTGCTCCAACACACCGACACAGCCAATTTTAATCCCAGGGAGGAGGACGCGGATGAGGGGGAAGGGAGATGGTGAGAGACGTGGAGAGATGGAGAGAGACGACGACCGTCGGGAGAAAAGAGAGGAGGAGGAGATGTGCCAGTGGGATGCCGGGCTACAAACAACCTGCCTGTGGATCGGATATGCAGCTTCCACAGTCCTGCAGCAGCCCCTATCTGCTGCTGCAGTTATTGCACTGGAGTGTGTGAATGTGTGTTTGTGTGTGTGTGTGGTTGTGTGTAATTTGTACGTGTGTTTGAATGAGATTGAGAGAGAGAAACATGGAGAGAGCACAGGAAATACATGTTTATGTGTGTGAAAGCATTTGTAGATGTGTAGCTGTCTTTCTGAGTGTGTGTATGTGTGAGTTCACCCAGATGCTCCTTGACATTCTTCAAATACTCTGTCTCACCCACCAGATGCTCCCCCTGTTTGACCTTGTGTTAACGTCACCAACTAGAGAGAAATACTGAGAAACGCAGAAGCAGCAGATGTCACACTGAGGTTACACACTCATACGCACACGTGGGGCTGATGAGCTCACAGCTGCAGATGCTAGTGACGATGCCTTGAGCGGCGTCTTGGGCAAGTTTTGGTGTAAATACAAAGAACATAAACAAACACCAATACATGATATGAACACTTAGCTCAGGGCTCAATTGAGTGTGAAGGAGGGCTATATCTAAATATATTTAAAGGCGTTTAATGGGGTCATGTTCAAATTGAGCAAATGTAGCATGCCCAGAGTTTAACCTGATTCTATAAACACCACAGTCAGCTTATTTTGTGACTGGCTGCTCCAGCAAAGCAGCAAAAAATTCTCGGGAAGACAGTTTTTATAGAATTTCAAAAATTGTGGCATACCAAGGGGAAAACGATGACAGCCGCGATCCGTCACAAACTCATCAAGGCAAACAGCAATCATTGCTGCTTCTGCTCAGCCGAGCATTGCATAAGAACATGGCCCCACGCGGGTCACATAGTCTCCTGCCCATCAACCGTTCCAAAAAAATTAAGAAACACCAATTGTGTAGTGACATTTCAACAAGGTGGCCCATTGAAGCTGTCAGCACCACATTCCTCCTGCAGCTCACTAACTGCAGTTACTGGTGGAGCTGCTGCCTCCTCCAGCAGCCTCCACCTTATTAATCAACACACCACGAAAGCACAGGGGCTCTCTGTGGACGTGTTAAATTTATATGTTCAATATCTCGCAGTATGTGTCTTCCCTGTTACTGCTGGGTGAGTTAACACCCACTGAGTGTTGAGCATCTTGCTTGCATCCAAATATGGAGAACTTAAGTATTCACAATAAAAACATCTGTAGGCAGTAAAAGGTGCTGCATGATGAGAGTGAACATTAAGACACATCTGGTTAGTATGTTAAACCTTGTATAGCTTTTCGTTTCCAGAGATGGGTGGATAAAGGCAAACACTACAAAATCTTATGCCTTTGTTGCTTAGCAACAAAAAAGAAGCAGATATGTTTACACAGCTGCTGATTGACCAAACACACCAGCAACATACTGGGAGCCACATCCGTTATTTGTTTCTCAGAATATAATTTAATCCTAAATATTATTTCAATTTTTATTGTCATGACATGGGAGATATTCTGCAATAAAGTGCTTTTCAAATGTCAAACTATAATCATTTAACTATTGGAATAAGAGAAATTGCTGTTTATGTGACATGCATCATAGCCCCTATGATTTTTGAGTCTTAATGTAAATGTAAATGTGGAACAGAAAGGCAAGAGATTTACATACAAGCCTTATATACAAAAGCCATTTTGAATGAGAGCACAGCAAAAATATAAACCTCTCCATCCTGAACAACAGTTTTACAATTTAAAATCTGTGAGCAGACCTGAATGGTCAGCTAGTAACTTTGTCAACTGACAAACACTATGAAGGTACAATCTGAGACACCCTAGTGAGTAAATCTAAGGCATAATTTGACAAGTTACACTCCTCCTTGAATAGAATTGATAATTGATTGACATTTTATTTCATCTGCGGGTTCAGCAGCAGACCTCTGTGTAAACAAGCTGCCATTTCTTCTACTTAATGGTCTAAATATCACATAAACCAAACCTAGAGCCCACAGGCTTGTTCTGGTATTTAGAACACTTCAGTAAAGAGCCTGCGGTTGATTTCAATTATGACTGTAAACAAGAAGAAGCAGATTTGACATGACCTCAATCACTGTTACTGCTATGTGGTTTACTGGCTCTCTCTGAGCAGCTAGACCAACAGAGCTCCCACACCCACAGAGGACTTTGATTTTCTCATTAAACAAGGAGGAATTTGGGATTGACGTCTCTTTCAAATGTGTTTTACACCATACAAACGTTTTCTGTGACACACTGACCACATAATAAATCCCTTCAGTTCGTACCTTATTTTGAATTTTAGAGACTTCAACAAATTGATCTGCTTGATTTTTATGTTTGAATCCAAACTCCATTTGCCAAATGCCTTTTACAAGATGAGGACCAAAGATCTTCCTCATTTTTCTTTCCTTGTTTAAACAATAAAAACCTTAGCATGGTGTTGTTGAACTTTCCATCTTTGTAACACATTTATCATGCAGGAACATTACGGCACAGGAGGATTAAAGCTGTGAGACAGCAGGCCTGATAATGATACAACTTTACTCCAGGAGGTTAATCCTGCACTCAACACCCTCAGCAGGTCAAGATCACACTCCACATCTAACCTGAGGCTGAGCTAACCAGCACGCAAACTATCAGCTCAGAGAAAGAACGGGACGTCAGATATTCAGCAGCAACAGAGCTCACCACAGCCTCAGCTGCTGAATATCCATCTCTGCTTCTCCAGCTATTTCCATGACTAGTTTCTCTTTCCTACTGTTACTGGTACTTTTTGAATTCCACTGGTAGACATGATGGTGAATTGTAACACTCACACACATCTATATTTTACCTATTAACTTGTACTACGCTGTATTTGTGTTGATATTTGGCCTGTATCGGATGATTTGTCCTGCTATTGTTTCAGATATTCTTATTATTGCTTGTTTACATTTTTAAAGTGTTATTGTTTGAAATGTTATTAAGATGAAAAACTCAATGAAAACTGTCCAGCATCATCCAAAGGAATGTATTTAGCTCAGGAATATATTTTAGCTCATTTTCTAACATCTGGCTTCAATAACTTTAATAAAGTCACAAATTAAGCAACAAGTTAGCTTCATCACTTTTTGTATGCCCTTTAAACACTTGC